AAATGTTCATCTACTAAATTATGTATCACATTAACCCTTAAAACCTTATTTCATTCCCGAATACATTAAAATCTATCTCCTCATGTATTCTAAAATTAAGTTATCCTTGTTAAATATCGATAAGAATTCTACCAATAGCAAAGAATAGTCTTCCAATGAAAACCATATTTTCATCTGCACTATAAAGGTATGTTGATTCCATTGCCTCCATTTGAAAATTTTGGGTTTATTTTTATTCTTCTAATATGGGTCAAAATACTTTATTAAATGCATAATGATTTGAATAGTTTGTTATGGTTCTATTTACTACAATTTTTTTATCAAATGAAAAAGATCATCTTTTATCATAATTCTTGATAATTAGTTGCATCTTCAATTATTTTAATAATTGATATGATTTTGAGTATATTCATAATTTATTATTTTTCCCACAACCTTTATTTTACATTATCTATATCAATAAAATTAGAATAATTTTTTTTTACAATTAAATTTCCATTTAAGAAATTAACTTAAAAAAAAAAAAAAGAGGTTATGATATAATTGGTTTTTTAATATTTCAACTTTAACTCCTTTTCGTTGGTTTGTTTGGCTTTTCATTCTAAAATTAAAGGAATTAGCTGATATAAGCTCCTAAATTGTAATTGTAAAATATTATTTGTTAAAGTTAAGATTGTAAATAAGTAGAAGGACTCTAGAAATCCCTTCATAGAATAATTGATATTATTAATAAGAGTAAGTTGGTAGAATTTTGTTAATGCATTTGTTATTTGATATTGACATAATGAGGTTTAATATATATGTTAACAATATAGATTTGAGCATTATTCCTATTGATTCATTTTTAACTTCATTTATGATTGTTATGAAGTGACATAATTGTGACTTTTTAAATATTTTATTATCATAAACACTGTAACAATTTTGATGATTATATATTAATACAATTATTAAATTATACAACAAAATTAATTAAAATTAATTGAAATTTAATAAATTAACACTTTTAATTGGTGTTGAGTGAAAAGGTACTGTAAAACCACAACCTCAAACATTATTTTAATTATTAATTAAACATTACTACTTTTATTCTCATTAGAGTTGTGTTTTGAAACTCAAAGTGATGATAGAACCAATTCGCTCATTGGTTCTCAATTCAGGCAGCCCAATCGATTTAACTAACCTGTCGACCATATGAAATAAGAAAGGATATTTTATGGTAATTTTAGGTTTCAAAATTTTGCCATTATTTGGTTGCTGTCTTTTACATTTTTTTCCTACAATTTCCAACCTTATCTAGCAATTTTTAGTTTAAATTAAACTTACTAGATATAAAAATTTACAACAAAATACCCAAATCCACCCCCAATGTATAGTGGCAGGGATGGATTCACCCCGAACAAAAAACAGGAGCAAATTTACCCATAAAGTTTTTAATTTAAACAAATCACCCTAAATTTAATATGTGACGTCATCTGACGTCAACAATCTATTAATTTGGTATGTCGCTAATAAATTTATTGTTAACAGATTACTAATATCAGATGACATCATACGTTAAATTTGAGATGATTTATCAAAATCGAAAACTTTGTGAATAGATTTGTCTCCATGTTTTGTTCAGGGGTGGATCCATCCCTACTGCCTAACTTTGGGGATGAATCTAGGCATTCTGCCTAAATTCATATAATAATATCAAAATCAAGTCTCAAATCCAAATATATATATAAAAAAAGTTCTAAACTAAGTTAATAGATAAAAATAATGTCATACAACTATAAGTTTTAAAATTAACAAATCAATATGCAAATGATGTATAAATTAAAATTGTTCATTATTTTTCTCCTATAAGAAGAGGGTCTTCTTTAAACCAAGAATCACATTCATGAAAATTGTTTTCATTGTCATAACTATCATCATTTTCTTCACCAATTGACTTCAAGTCAATTCCTCCACTAGCACTACCAATTTGGAATGATTCTTCTTCACCATCTTGCATTTCTTCATCAATATCATATGTCCCACCTTAAAAGTTAAAAAGCAAAAACATGTAATAAATAAAGCTCAACAAAATAAGTCATAATTCAAATCTAACTCACATAATCAACAAAATAATTCATAGAATAACAAAATGACATAATAAATTTAAAATCAAAACACTATGAAAAGAAGCTTTGATTAATCACTAACCTTCTTTTTGAGTTGTATGACATATTAGCATTGCTTTATTATTATAAATCATATTCTTCAATTCATCATAATCAAGAATTAAATAATCATCTTCTTCCATGTCCCCTTCCTGAATATTATCTATGCTTTCATAATCGACAGGATCAAAGCAAGTCTTCCTTTTGTTATCATTTCTATTATTCAAGATAAAAATAAAATTTTAAATATATATATAAGAATATATAAACAATAAGAAATGACACTTTATAAATATAGTACAACCAAATACTACCAAGAACGGGAGGGAAAGAAGAAGAGAAAGTTCAACATTGGTGCTAAAACAACCAAATATGTATTAAATGAAAAATTTAGAAAAGTTCAAACATTTAGTGCCAAAACATAGAGAAATTTAACAATAGTTTATCCATTGAGATATAAGGATACTGTGCAAGGCATAAACTAGTTCTATTAATTATCTCACTATCCTAAACTTTCAAATACAGTGCAAAGATTAGACAAATACAAACTTAAATGAATCCTACGTGAATCAATTGTTGGTACATGTTCAAATTGCAAATTCAAGGTCAATTACTATCAACTTTGAAGTAATCATCCAACAATCAAAATAAGCTAGTGTTCCCTATTATGAAAATAAAATTTGAAGCATAATCAAAACATCTCAATGAAATGCAAAGCAAATCCTAACAAGTTGTTGCTTTCCAAAATAAATAGTAAGAAAATGAGGAATCTACTAAAGCTACAAAATGCAGAGCGAGTTCAAGTCATTCTTGTAATACTTGAATATAAGTAGAGAAAAGGGATGATCAAGTTACAAAGGATCAAGAGAGATAATGACCTTGGAAACAAGATGAAAATCTGATGAAGAAGTATGATTCTAAATCTGAAATAACCTTGCCACCACCAGCATACACTTCAGCTCATTAGCCACACCAATTTGTTCATTCTTCTAGTTTCTAAGTGATCACCACTCACTACTACCACCACATGTTAAAATCGATGGACAAAAGAGCTAGAGAAGCATTCTCTTGGGTGTTTTTCTTTTTTGCCAATTTGTCTGGACTCTTGAGAAGCGGTGGACTAGATATTAAAGAAAGAGAAGTAGAGATTGGAGACCAAGAGTGAAGAGTCGAAGGCTTAGGGTTCCTAATTTTACTAATTTGTTTTTAGGTTTTTTTTTTTTTTTTATCATGAAATTGTAATGGGTAAAAGGG